GATTGCGGGCAAATCGTGGCGTCCAAGTTCTTTCCGGTCGACGCTGAAGACGGAAACGGACAATATCCCCTGTGTGAGACAGATTACTTTCGGCGATTGGACCTCCTCTGCCACGAATGTGGCGGTGCTTTGCGTGGTTCCTATATCACCGCCTTAGACCACAAGTACCACATCGAGCATTTCACTTGCTCCGTTTGCCCAACAGTTTTTGGCGCCCAAGACTCCTATTATGAGCATGAGGGCAGGGTTTACTGTCATTTCCACTATTCCACCCAGTTTGCTCAGAGATGCCACGGCTGTCATACAGCGATTCTGAAGCAGTTCGTGGAGATTTTCCGCAATGGCCAGAATCAGCATTGGCATCCAGAGTGCTATATGATCCATAAATTCTGGAATGTGCGCCTAGCTCCAAATGGCCGGCCTCTGGAGCATCCTGAGGCGGGTCTCGATGCCACTGACGAGGAACGAAATAGAGTGCGGGAAGAAGAAGATATGATGGAGGAGAAGGTTTACAGGATCTGGAGCATTCTCTCTGGTTTCGAAGAGTCTTCAGCTGCCTGCATCTCGGATATGCTACTACACGTCAGCAATGGCTCCTATCTGGATGGAGTCCTAGTTGCTAAGAGATTCATTGGTCACGTTGAAGTTCTATTCCGAGCCATCGATGAACTTGCTGGATACATCAAGACGCAAGAGATGAAGGGTAAGTACCGCCTTTCCAGGACAGAAAAGTAAAGTGCGGACTGACTGAGTACCCAGACCTTGCTTACGGACGTGAGGCCAAACTATTGTGCAAGAAAATTGTCGCCTTCTTCGCTTTGCTGTCTAAGACCCAGGAAGCTGGGGTACGGAAACTAGGCGTCACGCAAGAACTCCTATCATTAGTCACTGGCCTTGCCCACTACCTTAAGCTTCTCATCCGCATCGGGCTTCAAGGCGCTCTGAAGCTGGAGAGGGAGAAGAAGAGTCCCGCAGGCTTGTATCACTTCCTCGATCACTTGGCAGATATTGAGACACTCAGGCCTCCGGAGCAAGAAGAAACAACTGCAGATCTCATGGCTGGTGTAGCCAGTCTTGCCGATCAGCTTTCTGATTGCTGTGCATCATGTAAAGAACCAATCGATGATGAGTGTATCATGCTGGGTGATTCCAGGTGGCACATCAAGCCGCCTCATCTTACATGTGCAGCATGTCAAACGGACCTTACTGATACTTGTCAAGAGGCCCTCTGGAGTCCCAGGATGAAAAAGGTTTTCTGCAATAGTTGCGTCTCGCAGCAAGGTCTTGCGAATGAGACTCAAGGCGGATTTACTCGTGTGAGCAAACTACAGCAGTTTGTCTTCCTGTTACGGGTTGCACTCGCGCGCCTTCTTGCTGTTTTGCACGCTGGAGGAACCTTGCAACCCACTTCAAGTATGTTATCCCGTCGCAATGCTAATACCGGTCAGACATGGGTTAACGCTTTGCTTCTCTAGATGACCCGAGCTTCGCTGTGAGTGAGACTAAGGATGGCAACCAACCTCCATCTGGCGGTGAAATTCACAGATCCGCGACAAGGTCGAAGTATGCGGGCAGAGATGGTGCTGCTGAATCATCGCTTGAGCAGACCGTGGGCGAGATGCGACGCTTGCGGTCCATTCGGAACGAGCGTACTCTGTCAACTACATACAAGAGGGCTAGGGCTTCAAGAATTATCGACGGTCCTGAGGGTCGAAGTGTCAGGCCCGGTTCTTCCGGCGGAGAAGGATCCGATCCCCGTGGCCACGGCTTCCAGATTGTAGAGGAAAGAGATGCCAATGGCGAGACTGTCACCGACCTGACATTCGGTAATCAGGACGCTTTGACATTGGACGATATTCCCAGGATTGTGGCCGCCGAGCAAGCAAAAGAACAACGTCCCAACGCTTACAGACATGCCGGCACTAAACTGGTGGGTACGTCTGAGCCGCTTCCCAGGTACAACCACGGCCATCAACGAGGTGTGTCTAGCGGCAACTTGGAATCGCACCTCGCAGAGAGAACTGCCAAGACCAAGAAGTACTTCTCTGAACTCTCAGCTCTCGAATATTTTATCGTGCGGCATGTCGCTGTCTTGTCCATGGAACCTTTGCTGGAGGGTTACTTCACGTTGGATGAGTTACTCTCCTTGATTGAGTCTCGCAAGCCAACAATCTGGAACATATTCGGTCGTGCCTTCAACAAAGATGCCAAGAAGGCCGGCAAGAAGAAGGGTGTGTTCGGCGTGAGCCTCGATTTTCTGGTCGAAAAGGAGGGTACAGAATCCACTCATGGCGTCGGCCCTGGCGCGCTTCGCGTTCCTGCTCTTGTTGATGATGCTGTATCGGCGATGCGGCAAATGGATATGTCAGTGGAAGGTGTTTTCCGAAAGAATGGTAATATTCGACGGCTGAAGGAGATCTCCGAGATGATCGACAATAAGTACGACCAGGTTGATCTCACGAAGGAGACTCCTGTGCAGATTGCGGCCTTGTTGAAAAAGTTCCTCCGCGAGATGCCTGATCCGCTCTTGACTTTCAAACTCCATAATCTGTTCGTTATCTCACAGAGTAAGTTGAGCTCCTGCATCCCAATTGCAAAGCCTCTGCTAACCTCCCCATCCATAGAAATACCTGACCCCGAAAAGCAAAAGCGGTTACTGCACCTCACATGCTGTCTGCTGCCCAAGGCTCATCGGGACACTATGGAAGTTCTTTTCGCCTTTCTAAACTGGACGTCATCTTTCTCGCATGTGGATGAGGATACGGGTAGCAAGATGGATATCCACAACCTTGCAACTGTCATAACGCCTAACATCCTCTATCCAAATACGAAGAACAGCACAGTTGATGAAAGCTTCTTGGCAATCGAGGCTGTCAATGCTCTTATCACTTACAACGACACTATGTGCGAGGTAGGTCTTTCCGCAGCCCAATGCCCAGTGGACCAGCTCACTGACTGTCTCCTTAAGATACCGGAAGATCTCCAGGCTGTTCTTAGTGATACCACATTCTTCAAGGATAACAACGAAGTCAGTACGAAGGAAATTCTGAAGAGATATGGCGACATTGCGCGAGGAAGCTTCTCTCAGAAACCCAACAATGGCGGAGAAACTGTGACAATCACAAACCCTCATTACCGAGGAGCAAATATTCCTACGTCTGCGCGCATTGAAACAGACCAGTCTCAGGATGCATCGTGGCAGGCGCAGAACTCAGTACGCCACGTGCAAAACACAGGTGGGCACAACCACGCAAACAGTGCATCAGGACCTTACAATGGAATGGAACTTGCGCCTGGACAGACCGCCAGCTACCGTGAAAGGAGCGCCAGCAATGGCAGCCAGCAGAATCCCATCCCACAGGAGGGACAACCCCAACAGATGCCTTACAGGGCTCGTCCAGGAGCGGGACCCATGGGAGTTGCTGGTTAATTTAAAATCGGTCCTTCCCAACCATTAGAATTGCCCTATCGCATTACGCTGCCTATTTCATCGTCAGAGGAATCCCTTGTCTTCCTTGCCGACCAATCACATCGTGTTCTCTTTTTGATATGCAAATGGATGTTATCGGCGTACATTTGAACCATCTAGCGTTCTCTCATTTTGCTTGGGTTGGATGGAGTTCTTTCTCCTTGTCCGCTTGGTCTGAGTTTTGACATCTCCACATTGTCGGCTGCTCGGTTTTTGTCACAGCTGCTGGCAGTGTTTCTTCTATCTCTTTTCTCTCCACGTTTCTTCGTTCACCGTGCAGGACATGCAACCGCGAGGTTCGCGTTACTCGATTTGTCTCGCGCAGATTCTGGCTTCGATCAGTTGGTGGTGGAAGTGGCTGTTGGTCCAGTTTTATCTGACTCTCGGCCTGCCATCTCACCTTCGACTCAGATTCTTCTCTTCTAGCTTTCACCTTCTACTTGATTACTTATTTTCATACCACGGCCTGGGCATGTCGTTGCATTGACTGCCTTTTTTTCTGACCTTTCTCACTTTAATTTTTTCTTCTTTTCTTTTTTTCTTTACTTCGCCTTGCTTCCTTCCTGGTGTTTGGCATTTTCATCCCATCAACAATGGTGCGTGAACTGTGAGTGTATCGCTTGGTCTTTTGTTGTTTTCGCTAGTCGGCCTGCACGACCGCAAAGATACCTGTTCTGAGTCAAAGTTGTGGCTTCGTTGTTCTCGGTCCCTCTTACTTTTATTCTTCTTTTTGCAACTTCATTTAACCCTTGCTGCCTCCCTGAGGTAATATTCCCCAGAAGTTGTTCGATTATTGCATACATGTCCTCGTGCGGTGTCATTTCCTCATGAAAAGGAACAAGAGGTGTAATCTACTTTAGGATTTGAAGGAGGCTCATTCTGTTGCTCCACCGCAATGATTCTCGATCTGTAGGACCGCGTTCATAAAATTGTAATACAATGGCAATAGTTCTCCTGGTTTGAGGTAACCCCAGGAGCACGAAGAGATTTTGACGCCATGAGAAGACTTATTCCATTCCCGATCCAAGTGTCACTTGCAGGCTTATGCAGGATACAGCGGAGTAAGGGACAATGGCAAGCAAGGGCAAAAACAACAGTTATATTGCAAGCGAAAGGTCAGGGTCTCTCAATTCCACAAATGATTCATACAACATCTAGCCGAGTGAAACCCTTCAGGACTGTTCAGACCAGAGACCAACGCCTTCAACTGAAGAGGAAGAGATGGAAGCCCAACCAACTCGCAAGTTTTGCATAAAACGTCCCACCAACCTGGTAATCGAAAGCCAATACTCCAGTGAAAACCCACGAGCAAAGCATGAATGTACAGGGACAAAACCCGAACGGAAAGCCACAGCAATACAACCACTGAAGATGACAGCCAAGCAAGTTACGCAAATACCATGGCCCCAATGAACCCCAATCTCGAATTGGTTGACCTGCCGAGAAACAATTACACAACTCCCAGATAAAATAACACCGTCGCTGGTAAGTAGTTCCAACTTTATGTGTGGAAATAATCTGCATTCAAAATTTACGCTCGCTTGCGCAAGACTCGGCGTCCCGTGGCTGACGCTTCACCTCCTGCGGGAGCAGTGGCCTTTCTCGTCGCAGAAGCGGTGCTTCTTTTGGCGGCCACGGAAGGCGCTTGGTTGCGGGCGACCGTTGTCCTCTTAACGGGAGCACTGGCAGAAGATGCAGTGGTTGCTTTCCTAGTACCCGTTCCTGCTCTGCCTGGCTTGATCACTGTGGTACCCGAGGAAGCGGTGGAAGAGATGCTCCCTCTGCGGTCGAGTTGGGTGGCAGGGCGGGAGAAGGGAGATCGGACATTCTTTGTTGTCGTGGCAGCTCGGCTGGCGGGTCTCTTAGCTTGAGACGGTGGCCTCATGTCCCTTGTAGTAGTTGTATTAGCTTTCGTGGTCCGCGACCGTGCATTATCCGCGTTCCCTGCTGCACTGGCTGACGTCGATTTGAGGGGACTGGATGGTTTCAAGGGCGACATGGGACGAGAGAGATACGATGAGTTATGAGGCTTCTCGGGAGAGGCACGGAACGGTGATTGCGGATACGTTCTGGAGTTCAGAGATTTTGGAGAGAGGATCCGGTAATCTGCGCCTCGGACCTCCTGGGAAACGACGCGTGAAGTGCCGGCCGGGTTGGCACGCCTCTTGGGATTTTTGAGCACGTCAAGGGAGTCACCTGCAGCAGGCGCGTTTTCCTTGTCCGAATAGAGTCCCTCGTGACTTGACACAGTCCGTCAGCAGGCGAACAAGGATCGGAAGATTGCAAAGGGGTCATGGTAACTCACCTTTGCCTTTTTACTCTACGCGTGCTTGGGCTTGCAGTAGAGACACTTTGTTTTCCGCGTTTGACTGAGGCAGACGTGAGATTCCGCGTTCCTTTGCCGGGACTGGCGTGCTTCTTGGGGGACAGGGCGGTCTGTTGCATTCGGAGAGAGTTATTGTGCTTCTCAAGTAATTCACCCATTTTGGCCTTTCGAAGTGCGATGGGAATACGGTTAATGCGCCTTTCGATTCGAGACCGCAGATCATGTGCCTGGAGAGCGTATTGTGCGCGAAGCTTGCGAGCTCGTTCTGTGACTGCACCTTGTGTTAGTAGATGGCGTATCCAGAACGTTGAGAAGACCATACTCTCTAGTTGCAGATTATCCATTAGGGCCTGCTTCTGGCTTCGAGTTATCCGCAGCTTCTTGTGAGGAGGAGCATCGGTGGGTGTTCTGGCATCGTCGCTAGGGTACGCGTCGTGGTCTGCGTCGGGAGACTTGCGTTTAGTTGGAGAAGCCATCGCAAAGTGTGTGCTAATAGGTAATTAGATGGGAAACAAGCTGATTGATTGCGATAAGAAAGAACAGAGCGTTGTGGGGGAGGTCAACGAAGAACGATGAATGCGCGTGGAGGAGGATGTTGATGGCAGTGCTGGGGAGTAAACAAGCGCTGACTTAATTCGTCGTTAGCTTCCGAGCGGAGTGTGACATCTCGCCTGCAGCAGCTCCAACCTCCATCGTCACCTCCGCTCAACTTCATCACTTCCATCACTATTAACTTCCTCAGTCCTCTCTTGCCTTTTCTCGGAGCTTTTATAATCCTCGAAGAGTCAATTCTGTCTTATTGAATAATATTATCTACATACTGTCTCATCCCGAACTTGCGAAATAGGCCTTCGCCAAGATGTCGCTCGAAGCAACCATGATCATGTCCGTCCTTTCCAGCTCAGTTTAAGCTATCTGTCCGTTGACTGACCACTTTGCAGTGTGGATAATAGTGAAAGTAGCAGAAATGGAGACTATACGTGAGGATTCCTTGGTTTTCCCTAGCTTTGATAAGCTCTGTCGCTCAAGGGCTGACAACTTGCAGCTCAACACGATGGCAAGCACAGGTCGATGCTGTCAGCGTCATCCACAGCGCCAAAATGCGCGCACATCCACAGTCTGCTGTTGGGCTCATGAGTATGGGTGGCAAGGGTCCTGAAGTACTTTCAACATTTACCTCCGACTTTGGCAGCATTCTCTCCGGTCTGCACCGCACCAAGATTCATGGCACTGCCCATCTCAGCTCCAGTATACAGGTGGCTGGTGTATGTCATTTGTCCTCGATTTGAAGTTTCGTCGATAGACACTAACGAAGTTGATAATCTAGCTTGCTCTAAAGCACCGTTCCGAAAAGTCTCAGAGACAACGCATCATCGTTTTCTCCTGCTCCCCTATCGAAGAGGACGAGAAGACACTGGTCAAGCTGGCTAAGAAGATGAAGAAGAATAATGTGTCGATTGATGTCATTGCCTTTGGAGACCTAGAGTCCGATCAAACCAAGAAATTGGAAGCGTTCGTGGAGAATGTTAAGGGTGGCGACGGCTCCAATCTAGCCATCATTCCCCCCGGACCGAACCTTCTCAGTGAGGAGCTCCAGGCCACGCCAATCTTGGGCGGTGAGGCTGGAGTAGGCGGCGACGGTGCGGAAGGTGGTGACGGCGGCTTTAATTTCGAGGACGCTGCTGAAAACGACCCTGAGCTCGCATTCGCTTTGCGTCTTTCACTCGAGGAGGAAAAGAATCGACAGGAGAAGGAAAAGCGTGAGAGGGAAGAGGCTGAGCGCAAAGCGAACCTGGAAAACATCCCCGAGGAAGGCCAGCCGGGCGGGGAATCGAGTGGAAGCCAAGACAAGAAAGAGGACGGTGACAAGATGGACACCGCGTAAGAAAGGGTCGTGTGACCTTCTATATGGTGGATGACTCTAATGCATACCCGGCGTTTCTCTGTATTGACATCTGCTCTTGTAATTCTAGAAAGCGTGCCTTCCACTACGCGCTTTGAAGAAGGGATATGAATTGTATTGCAAATTCTATCATGACAACGAAACCGTACTCCAAGCCATCGCTGACCATTTCGCCAAGTCGCGAGCGTAGTCCATTCGCGAGCACTCAAATGTGGTCTAATCTCAGGTTTCCCCCAACTGATCATGTCCTCCTCAGCCAACCGCCTAGATGTCGATCAAACGCCTCACACCGAACAGGCATCTCCAGCTGATAAAAAGGATTCTTCATCACATAGTCCGAATATAACTCGTAAATCTTCTTCATCACCGCATCGATATTCGCCATGAGCGGATCCGTGAACAAGAGGAACTTGGTCCCCGTCAACGTCTGAAAACACGTTAACCGGAACTTATCCGTCTCGAGAGATTCCAGGCCCGTCACTGGTACGCCGGGGTTAGGGAGGCTGTATGCCGACGCAGCCGGCGTCGGGGTGGATGTGCCCGAGGGGGACGAGAGGGCGACGTTTGAGGAGGAAGCGGGTGTTGTTGGGAGGGGCGCGGAGATGGGGATTTTGGGGGTGATGGAGCGGGTGATGGCGTGGACGCTGCGTGTCACAGTTGCTGTTAGCAATTGCTTTAGAAGAACCTAAGTTGTCCTCACGGGGGAGGAGGCTGCCATTCGACGTAACGTACCCGTGAAACGTCCCTGCTAGGACGAGGTAGTCGTTTGTGGAGAGTTTGCGCAGTCCCGGCTGGAATTCACGCTGGTAGATCAAGCCGCCCGCTTTGTTGATTATGATGAGGGAGAACACGGCCCTGTGTTTGGAGTTGGTCAATCGCGATGTGTATGTATGGGGGGGAGGTATTTGATGTACATGATGGATAGGATTCGGACAATCGTCCTGCTGAGGAAGGGACTTCAATGCTTGGAATCGTGCAGCATCACTCTAGTCCGTGATTCGAATATGTTATAAGCGTGGTGTATATCGGATCGGGAATCTCATGTCATCGTTATCGTTGTCGTTATGGTCATTGATATTGGCCGCAGAGGGGATGCGGAGATTAGGAGTTGGTACTTTGCTACCTATGTTTGCCGGGGTGTTTATTCCGCACCCAAGAAACTACGACTGATGTTGGGGACTCGCTCTGACTGCCAATACAATGTTTAGGTCGGCGAGTTGCTACAACGTTTTAGGGGCATACAGATCAACCACGACTCCTAAATATTGTACGTTTCAACTTAATTCTTTACTAAGAATCGCAGGCATTTCGGCGACGCAGATTCATGTTGTTTGGATCAATCTCAAGGAAAAATTAATTCTGCTGAGAATCCGGCTGCTGTCAAACGACTTCTGCTCCACATTGTCCAACTTCACAATATATTCTCACATCCAACAACAACAACAACAACTCTGGTCTAGGGGTCAATATCGACGACAGTGCTAACCTCGACGATATTCTTCTGCAGAGTTAGTCGTCTGACTAAGAAATAACACAGCTAGAGACATACCGGGTGACCCTCTTCCGCTACCGCTTCCAATGACTGACTATCATAGCGAACAGTCCCCTTTCCTCCTCGACCCCCAGCCTTGACATACGCCGGATAGTCAGGAGCTCCAGGAAAGTCGGTATTATCGGCGATGACCAGAGACCCTGTGTGGAAAAGGTTGAGGTCTTCACAGAGCTGCAAGTCAGGCAAATAGAACTTCTCCCAGTGATCGAAGAACGCCATATCCACTGCTCTCGGCTTCACCTTTCCCTCTATATGCAACTTCTTGAGCGATTCCGCAGCAGGCCCCTCCAGGACACGAACAAGGTCTTCCAGCCCAGCCAGGCGAATGAGGTCTCGAGCTACCTGAGCACTTACTGGGCTTAATTCAAAAGTATAGACGTTGCAATCGTGCACATTCTCGCCGTGCAGGTCGCGTAGAATCGCACCCCAGGCGATGGCGGAGTTACCAACAGGTACCGAATTCGATTATTGTCTTCGGAGGTGGCTGCAGACCTTGAAGTTGTTGACGTGCTAAGGTTAATTTGTTCTCTTTGAAGATCATCATATGCTTGTTCTGTGCGAAGGTCTCGATGGCCTTGACCAACTCCCAGGGCTGGTTCGCGAATCTCTCTTGGGGCTGAGCAAAGATATGCTCGTGCAGAGCTAATGCGCGATCTTCAACTGACTTGAAGTTTATTGGTCTGAGTCGTTTCTCTGGAGGAAGGAACAAGAGACGTACCGGTCTGGCTTCTTGCATGTTTGAGTCTTGCCTCTGACTGGACAACCACGGTTGGACTTTGTCAAAATGGCATTTATCCCTTAACAACAAGGGAACAATAGCAAGAACAGTGAGATATAGGATTAGTCTGGATCTGCTTCCATTCAAAAATGCCATGGTAATCGAAGGTATTTATACACTGTCGACACTGAAGTAAGAGGAACACGCAATGAACTGCTTGCCCGTCACTGGATCTGTGCTGGGCCCGGCGCATCACGCAATGGGTCAAGCTTTCCTTATCTCCGAGTTGATGATCGCAGCAGATCAAATCCGAACCTATTCAAAGAGCCCGGATGATTCGAAGCTCGGCGCATCCGGAAGATGGTGTGATTTCCCCGGCATAGTTGCGAAGTATACCGTGACTCCTGCGAGGCCTTCCACTGCGTTACGTGTGCATGGAGTACAGTGAAGGATCTCATACTGGATCTCACATGATGTCTCTGCCTCAGTTAAACAGTTGAATGAGATTGGCGAGTGCCAAAGACATTCGTTACGGCTTTGATTGCGAAAGTGTCTTCCAGTAACCGAACGACGCCTGAGGCAGAACTGTTAAATCCGACGAAGCCTGACTTCCAGAATAGGCAGGTACCCACTCGACTCGGCGATATTCCATGTATAGTCTCCTCGGCCGAACAGCCCTTGATCGGCAGTGATACGATTGCCTATCTCCATGGGAGCTAAGACGGGAAATAGTGAACTGTAAGCTGGATGAATATCTTTGTGGGTTGATTGGACGTTGAGTGCAAATTGATCATGACTTCGAGATCTCTCTACACATAATGCTTGACATTGGTACGGTTCTATATATGCAGATACGGAATAGTGTCCCTAGTCTGGAGAGAGCCATGGGATCTTCACAAGGTAGTGGCTAGGACTAGGAGTAACTGAGCAATCAGGTTTCCGAATAATTATAAAGTTCTTGGTTCGATGTTCACGTATGAAATTGTTCACTTTTTAGTTTGATTGCTCAGGAAAGGAGCATTCAGGGAGATGTCTATAAAAAAGCGTATATGTCCGAAATCTAGGGCATATTCCTCGTTGTGAAGTCGTCAAGTCGTAAAGAGTCGTAAATATCCCAAGCAAACATAAACGCAAGAAACAAAAACTATAGAATTGGACATGACCGGATCGCTTTTGTGCGGGTCTTCTCAGTGGAAGATTTCTTCTGTCACTGCCCTCAGGTAGGCAGTTTGTGCTTTGGACTTGGCGTTCAAGCCGAGCAGCCTTGGAACTAAATGATAATGTCGCCGTCGTCTCTTCACTCTCAAGGCCATTCGAAAATGGTAGCCCGCACGACGGCAGCCATGCAAGGCTCAGAGGCGGATCAGAGTCGGATCAGGGTCTCTGGAGCCTGCAGTTGTCTTTCGTGGCTGACATGGGCAGTGGTTTTGCTTAGGGGCGTTGTTGCCACAAGTCTCTTGAAGAGACGACTTCTGAGATGCTCGCTCGAACGCCAAAGGAAGGGAATGAGCTGGATGAGCGCACCTCCCAGGCACTATAGCCGGTGACGCTCCAAGTTCATGGTGGTGGATTGTAGGGAGAGTTATCTCTCATGATGTAGACCTCCCCCACGAGAACGGCACACCCTACAGCCATGGAAATGGCAATGATGGGAAGGTTCACTCGTGCAAAGTCAAGGCTGCGGACGCGAATATGTTTCCTCGCAAGAATGTCCCGCCAGAGCAGACCGGCTAACGATGCACTAAAAGCCGTGCTAAAGGCACCGTAGTTGACTCCGATCGCCATACTGTACACAGTCGCCCAAAATGTCCGGTCACTGATGAAGGTGCCGTGCTCGTCGTTGATCTGCTTCCATGCTTGTATGACCCGGGAAAGGAGAATGGTGGTACCAATATTGGTGCCAGCAAACTAGTGTAAATGTGACAGATTAGTTGAACAGGTCCGACTGTTTCAATATTGAGTTCGCAACTCACGTTACACAGAATCACCGAAACAAAGCCCATGCCTCCAATAGCTCCGACGGTCCCCGTCTTGTCCACCCAATGGTCCCATCCGTAAGCGAAGACCGGGACCCAGCCCTTGGTGACTAAGGCTTGTACGAGGACAAACATGGAAAAGGAGAAAGGCACAAGCGCAAATGGCATGTGTGACACAACCGCTGTAGCGGTGGGGAACGTCTCCTGCGACCACCTGTACACCTCTGCGGCAAGAGACACCAGAGTTACCCGTTCCCGACCGTTTCCTGATGCAGCCTCGTGCGATAACTTCTCCGAACATATCCGTCTTTCCACATCCATCTCAAGACTGGAAGTTGCACCTGACAGCTCCCGTGGTGCGGCCGTGGAGAGTTCCTGTTTTTCGTCCAGCGCGCTCATGGCGTCGGTGGTAAGTTGTCCGTTCTGCAAGCGATCATTCTTGGGTACCAGTGTTGAAATGGATGATTCTAGAGGAGAGGCCAGCGTCTGACTTTGGCCATCCGACATCTGGGACGAAAAGCCCGTAGAAGAACGATCTGGCGACCGTACGCTAGTGACATTGACCGTATTCCCCTCGCCGGTGCGTGGGTCAGTGTCGGGCTCTCTCTGCGATCGAGTTTCTGTCGATTCAGCGTATTCATATGCCTCGGCAACGTGTTGTGCGCGCATGGCTTCCTCATCTTGAAGGGCACGCTCCGCTCGGGCCAGTTCAATCTCTGCGCGGCCCTTACGGGCAATCTCGCGCGTTTCACGACGGTGGTACCATCCAAACGCAAGATCCCAGCACAGCATGACCACGGCAGCCGGCAGGGTCACCCAGAAGACGGGTTTAGGGTGGCCATGTTGGCTAGAGGCATTGAGGGCTAGCAGAGTAATGAGCGTGGCCGCCATGATGAGAGCTCCAAATGCAGCACCCCCTTTATCCAGGAAAGGATTCATGATCTCTTCGAGCGAGAGCTTTTGTCCATCGTCCGCGAGGTCTTCTTGTTCATCGGCCCTTCCCCTCGCATGAGGTATGTTGGGGTTAACGGGCTTCTTGTCTCTTTCTTCTTGTGTGAGCTCGTGCATCTTGATGGAAAGAGGGATGAGAGATTCATCCGCGAAGATGATGTACAGTAGAAAAGGAAACAAGACAATGGCGGTGACCACGACGGGAACAATCATATTAGCAGTGTACTCGATGAATTTGACCTGGAAAGCCCCAGCTAGCACGAGATTGGTTGGGTTCGAGGAGACAAGGATCGCAGAGGCGATATTGGCAACGGCAAACTGACTGTGAATCCAAGCTCTTGGATGAACGATGTTGCTTGATACTCGGGTCATATAGGCGAGGAATGCGGTACCGGAGAGAATAATCGGATCGTTTCCAATAAAGCTTCCTAGGCCGAAGAAGAAGGCGTAGAGGTAAAAGAAGAGCCGGTGCCCAACCTCGCCACCTTTCTGAAGGACTTTGAAAGCCAGGTACCTAATCAGACCGGATGCATCGATGGAGATGGCGATGTAAGCCAGGGATAGGAAGAAGGCCATGATATCGATTGGTATGATATTGTCGGCCCCAAGCGTGCCACCGCGCACTTCCTCCCGTCCGATCGCCAAGATAGCCAGCAGAAATAGGTCTGCTATGAGCGGTGCTGTGACAAAGTTAAGAGGAAAGTTAATTCGCACATATGGCTTGAGTTTGCCATTGTGGTCTTCCTGATCGTCTGGTTGAAAGCGATTTTCCCTGGGAGGGATAATTCGCAATTTACTCAAAACATCCAGCACTGCATTTGAAAATGGGCGTGGGACGTAGAAGGGAATATGGAAGGGAAAAAGCACGATGATATCTGCAAGAGTCAGTCGCTTAGGAATTCGATGCGGTCCCGTGTCTGGACATACTAGTGATGATGAAAACAATAAGCGTGACGATCGAACGCCAGCTCTTGATCTTGCTGGTGTCGAGATCCCCTGCCATTCTGAAAATCGTCCTTGTATGAAATTCCTTCCTGGCTGGCTGGAGATAGCGAGTTTTCCCCCCTCGATTTGCGTTGTTCGAGCTTGGAGCGTTGCAGCCCGATGCCGCAGTGACAGAAATCAGATGCAGCAAACGACTGCAGAAGAAACGCTTTCAAGAGATAAATATAGGCACACAATCAAGCTTTAACAAGCAACAGGCGCCATTTGAAAGTGTCTCGTCCGCTTCCTTGTCTTCAGGGCGCAAGAATGAAAAAAAGCCCCCTGGTCATGGAGAATTTGACCAGCAAACCTGACGTTGAGTGGAATGTGAATTCAGACTTGATTATCGGTCGGTCACCATGCCGTCCTCCCTGCACACTTCGAAGACCTTTGCTGAATCAATCAACAACCACATCCATTGGCGAAAAACAGACTCAGATAGAACAGATCAAAGGAGGAAGATGGCCTTCTATATCATTCTTGTCGCAATAGCACTTGATCTTCCTGGCCTGAAAAAAAAAAAAAAGCGCGGTGGCACAAGACAGATACGCTCCGATTAGTGCTACCAACCCTTAAGCGGTTAGGAATGATGATTGGGAACACATTCTTCGGGATGAATTTCGATTAGCCGGGTGCTAATGATGATGACCTAGTCACCCAAGGGAGGCGCAGCAGAGCACGTAGCCGAAAGGAAAGGTCTAAGAGGCTCAGAATCCCAGCCTGTGTTCTGGCGGGATTCTTTGGAGTCTTGGGTTCCCGCTGACAACTGACAAGAAGAGATTCGGCCACTAGTCCGGTATCTAGACTAGGCACTAAGGCAGAAGGCCCTCACTAGCTATGCGTGATGTGGGGACTGCGCCCTCCAGCCTTGCCACCTCACCTCGATTCTCCGTAGATAGTCCGTACCATGGGCAAGGCAAGTGGGCATCCACCTCGACTTGTATGCTTCAACGACGAGTAGAATACTGGACATCCCTCTATCAACAGTCAAAGTACCACAATTAAAAAGCTGGGGGAGTTTCTTATCAGCCTGGTCTGAGAGACAGGGAAAGGAATCGGCTATTGCCCAAACAGGAAAAGACTGGCAGCAGGGCTAATGCGCCTCGCCGCCTTCAGCCGTGTCTACCTCTGTTTGATCACTTCTTTTGCCCGGTGCCAGCCACCTTCTGGGTGGTTTCTGACGGGCTTCCAGACGGGCTGAACTTTGTCGGGGATTCCCCGTTCATCTGATCTTTCCAGTCGTCGAATGGTAAAAACGCATCCAATAAGCCGTTGCAGAATAGCTTCAGAGCGAAGTTGAGCCTCATGTCGGGATTTGGCTCTTCGTGTCCCAGGGTCTTCTTGATTTGTCGCAAACAACTCAGGCGAATCATGAGCCGAATGAGGGAGCGATAGACATTTGACAGATGCCACATTTGTCTGTCATCGCTTGCACAATCGCCCACTAAGTACTAATGATAACCTATCTACAGTCAATTTGCAACGTAGGCGTTGTTAGCCGACGCGATGCCTGATTATAGACCTGTCTGCTTACGCGCGTCTGCTAGCCTCACAAATGACAATTGCTGCCAGAGTGATGGGATCTTCCTATTTTTCTTCCTCCTTCTTGGAGAATGACTTGACCTTTCTGCGTCAAAGATTGACCTAACACCGAGTCTAATGACTAAAGTCCGATCTATAAATCATTTACAAGGCCACTCGTGTCTCCACAATCAAACTGCCTAATTTAATACAACAGACTCCTGATTCACTTATACAGACAAGCATTGATCTTTGTGCGATACCATGTCTAGTTATGCCGGCAATATCCCATTTATCGACGGAACTCAATAGAACGCTCGATACCCCCAACGCTGCCAGCGACACTCTGCAGGTCATTTGTGCCTGGCCAGTCTCCGGCCAGTATGGCCCAGGAACAAGGATTCTGTATGTGGCCGTGCTCATCCGCTAGCTTTGGACTCTGTAGTGTCCACTTCTTTGTGACCAGCATTTGTTGATATCTCCCTTCGCGGGTCCTCTGCTATTATAGGTACTATGTTCTCATAACAACCTGCGTCTTTGGTCGCAGAGCGGAATGGCTCAGAAATGCCTGTCTTGCCGCTGCACTGCTTTTCCCGGCCATTGGAGCGCTTCATGGTATTGTACTCGCGTCACTGCACATCGACGGTAAGCTCAATATTTCTGTCTGAAATATACTACATCCTAACCGGCGACCTGTGTTGTTCAGCTGCTGTCGATATGGATGTTTTTGGAGCCTTTCAGCTTTGCTCAATCGGCATCTTGACAGCTCCAGTCACCGTTAGACTATCCAAGACGTACTTCAATGAACCCGGCCGGAATATCATCTTTCTGTGGACTGGTCTTATACTTACAGGTAAGTTTCCTCTCTGGTGCAGTGTTGTACGACTTTGCTAAACTTACCTCTCCGCAGGACTTTTAAGCTTAACAATCGAGTTCTATCGGATCAATCCGCATCCCTGCACGGTCAACGGTCGTCCGATATCCAAGGACTCCAAGGAATTTAATTACGGTACGACTATGTGTGATCTGACTTGCTCCACCGATGCCGGCCCATTCTCGCCTATGCGAGAGGGGTCGGCAAATAACATCTACGTCATCCCTGCACCTGAGAAGCTTACGTTTGGCGCTGCGACGCTGCTGGCTGCTGCATGTTGCATTCCAGCCATTCTCTCGCTGGCGTCGATGTGGAACAAGATTCTTGAGATCAACTGGACCAGGCGGTTCGGCAATCCGGACCGGAACAAACAGCAAGACGAGGTCATTGAGGGCACGAACGGTGCAACGCTCGGGGCAATGAACAGGGTCAATGAAATGATCAGGTCGTTTCTCAGTGTCGTGGAGGTGCCCATATTCGGGGCAGCAGTCCTCGTAATTATTATCATCGGCGAGATGAACTTTTTCAGTTATCAAGTCCAATATCAAACTGAGCGAATGAAGAGTATAGGTAAGTTTCTTCGTGAATATATCTATAAAAATATACCAGTACCTGACTTGTGGGTAGGCCAATGGGCCCCGATTGTTGGTGCTGGCCTTGCTGTACTTGGATCGCTCTCGCTGTTTTTGGCAGCAGCAGTTGAAGATCAGGAAGAGGATGTGGAGGAAAAAGCTAGCAGCACTTACTCCGGTCCTCTACCTCGCGAGCGCATTCTGGGTGATGCCGATGCGTCTTGTGTCCAGGACCGACCAAATTCTCCCAGCGACGGAGATTCGTCGATGGAAGTGGGGCATACGATGAGTCGAAATAGTAGATGGCCGCTGAGGCGCTCTGCAACAGAAGATCAGGGCAGTCGGCGCAAAATTGCGCGAAGCCTTTTTGCTGTCAGCAATTGGATGAGCAATGCAGCACATGATCGGTATCAGAACTCCGATTTCAAGAGCGGGCCAGCACTGCGATTTCCAGAGATACCCGGCGAGGAAAACCGGAACGGCGAATTGAACAAGATAAGGAAGCAGTACAATCGTGGTCAAAACCTAGACGAGTTCAGCGCATCAGGGTCTCCCGATCGGCTTTCGCGGGTGCCTAGTTTCACGGGCAGCATTTCTTCTCGGCGAGGCTTCGAGGGAAGCCTGCCAATCCCAAGGACTGCTTCCCCTGCGCCGAGCCTTGGTGGAAGATCGCAGGCTAGCATGTCGCAGGTTGATGGGAGCTCGTTCGACCTACAGGATCCTTCTTCATCCGGAAATGCCACTAGAAGCCATTCACGAGCCCGCGGTAACACGCTCGAAGTGCCGAAACCAGTTTATGCCAGTGGTGGTCGGATAAGATCATCCACTGCTCCAAATAGGGCCGATGAAGAGTCATCAATGGGAGACAGCTCCCCGATAATCGTGGTGTCGCCGGATCCTGGCCCGAGTTCCCCTGGATGCGCCCCTGGATCAATCCCACGGACATCTTGAGCATGCGAACGGTTGTTGGCATCACGTGGCAGCCTGCCAATCACAAACCGACCGCGTTTTGATGGGACGGTCGATTACAAGCCAGTCACGCCATATGTCCGCAATTTTTTCGGACCTTCCTGCACCCATAATTACCACGACCTCAAAACCTCATTCTACCCACGCGGCTCGACGAAGCAGATTCCGGATTGCAGGCCCCCTTGTCCTTCTGGATAGTCAAGCCGCGGCGTGGATCCCGGCCGCTCACTGTTCAGTCTTTGCTGAAGCCACTGGTTGGTTAGTCCTGAGGCTGGAAGCCTTGTGTTCGCGAAGGGGATAATCTAACATATGCTACACAGCAGACAACAGGGCTTCTGAGAACCATTTCATCTGCCTCGCAAGCGGACTTGATTCAGCAGATTATCTTCATAGTATTTTTCAAATATTGCATGGAGGTCTGATTCATTGGAAGGGTGCACATATGAGCCAGGTTATACATTTAGAAGTATCTCAAAGGAGACAAGTCATATATGATGATAAAGAGATGAATAAACCTGTACAAAGCAGATAGAAAACGTTTCAAGAGAGCGGATGGGGCCACCGTCTACAACAGGTGATTTGAGTCCAAAATCTGATTTAGAACTTGAATGCAATGACTTCGAGGACAGAATCGGGAGTGCTCTCATATGTAGTCAAAAATCAGAATCTTGAAAATTTCCGCTCCAGGGCAAATAAGCTCATGGATGTTAGAGTTTGGTATTCCTTGGGTGGAATCATTTTTAGTGTTGACTTAGGGAGGTATATCAATAGAGTACTATTGTGTTGTACAGCTATGGTGTAGGCTGTAGATGTACTTKATTGATAGGTTATTATATATCACTACGGTCAGGAGCAGCAGAGTAGAAGAGTTCAAGAGTTCATTATCATGTATGCAGCAAGCACATCGAAAAGTCCAAAATCCATCATAACAATACAGGATATCCATCGTTAGTCATCAAGCGGGTCCAGTCCTTCTATATAACCTGGGGGTATAGCGTGGTTAAAGACGCGCATGCAAGATACGCCGAAGTCATCAATCCGAGACAAGAAGAAAGGCAAAGGGAAAAGTGAAACAAAGCATTAAAATAAAATATGGTCGAATGGTCCGAAGAACAGGAAGGTGAATCATTAGCATAGAGCAGTAAGCATCCACTGCCCTTTACCATCACGCTGGATGATCCCTTCACTGATGGCCCAGTTCCTTAGGGCGATATCCTCGGCCTCCTCGAGAGCAGTCTCGTCCTTCTCGAAATGCCGTCCGACGTGGTCCATGCGGTCATTCCAACTGTTCGGGCCAGAGAAATTGCGCCCGCAGAATCCGCAGGAACTTTGTTGTGGCGGCTTGCGTTGCTCCTGCCAGCAGCGGGCGCGGACATCCTCGAGACTGGCCTCGAAGGCCTTCCGCTCCTGCTCGGTGGCATCATCGGCCCGGCCGGCGAGGACCCAGGGTGCATGCATGCGGCGCTGGTGTTGGGTGAAGAGATCCTTGCGGTTGAAGTCGTTGGTTTGGTGGCCGGGCTGGTCGTGGTGGTTGCGGGTGGAAGTTGAGGAGTTTTTGTTGTTGGGTTTGTGACCGCCGTTGCAGTTGCCGACGTCGCAGCGGAAGAAGCCGAGTTGGACGTGCTGAGATGCAATGTGTCGCTTCCATTCGTTCTTGGAGGCAAAGGTGCTTGTGCAGCCGTAGTGTGAGAAGCTGCAGACGAAGACGTGGCCCTTGGTCGTCGACTTGGCGGGTTGTTGTTTCGAGGCTGACGCCACTTTAGTGTGTGACTTCGCCCGAGTCTTCCTTTTAGTAACGCGATTCGGTGATGAACCTTTCTGAGGGGTGCAGCGAGACTTCCGACGTCGAAGGGAAGGTGGAGGGGTTTTGTGACCCGAGAGACTATCCGAGCCACAACGACGAGCTTGCGCTGTTACGGCTTCTAATCCCTCAGAGCAGTTGCTCCCCTCGTAAACAAAGTGATGAGCTGGCGCAGTCAATGGATGGGATGATTCTACCATCGGCTCGGGGTCAGGATAGGTTTGTATCTGAGGCAAAGCGACCGAGCTAGTGACGGACATCACTGGTGAGGAATATTGTTCTGCCTTGACTGAGGAACCTCTCAGATCGTCGTAGGCATAGGGTGGGGACGGGTAGGGTTCCATCATGTTGCTCTGCGCAAAGCTACCATCAGCGCTGCTGCCAGGGCTTTCTGCACCAGAAATTGAGGAGTAGCTGCTCCAAGGTGATGCGACGCGATTTGGTCCCAGGAGAACAGGATGAAGACCTGCCTCCATCATCGGCAGAGGACCAGCAATGTGCGAGTGAAGAGATCCGTCGGTCCACGACGTATACGCGGGGAAGTAATGAGTCTTAGGAATGCTCTCGAGCTGGGACGATCGCGGCTGGAATTGAGGTGCGTCCGGAAGGTAGGCTGGATCGGTGCAAGGGTCAGGAGATGGGTAAAGCTCGTAATCTTCAAATGATGCACGATACCCGAGCGTGATGGGAAGGGTGTCGGCATAAGCGCTTGAATGCATTTTTCAATAACGTCCAATGGGCCTGTTCGTCTTTGGACTGAGCATGGACATAGGAGCCACCAGCAGCCTGAAAAGAGACAACTAGATCCTTTATAGTCTCCCAAACGATGGGGGGATGCATTTCTAGCACTATTAAATTACGACTCAGCAAAATATGCCTCACGCGATATGCAGGAGTAGTCCATGGTGCGGCGCAGGAGGGCAATACACAGCATCCCCAGAGTATAAACCACGCTATCCTCTGATTTGGCGCAGTTGAGCCGCAAGTCACCCTTTGGCATGTTCGTTCGTGTCCCAAATAGCAGCTCGACTCTAATTTGTCACCGCAGGTATGGGTCGATTGGGAAACGAACCAGCCTAGATGACAGGACCAGTCGCAAAGGCCGTGCGGGACCCATGGCAGATGGTCATTCGGCGGACGGTAGTTTGACCACGAGGAATAATATCATGTTGGGTGAAGATAATTAACTTCTCACTCACCCCCTTTTTCGTGCTTCTCGATGTCTATATCGTCAGCATCTTCAGTCTGTAAGACGGTGAGACCCCTGAGTGACCGCCGGAAAGAGTAAGATCCATCGCCCGCAAGAGATGGAAAGATACCGGGATCAGAGATGCAGTACTCGTGATTGGAGAATTCAGAGACATGAGACTGGGGTCTACATGGTTCATTGGTTATTGACGTCGCCTTCCCAATCCCCACCTGGGGACGCCCTCCTAGTCAGTGTCGGTCAGGTTCGGACATGGCTGAGCGCTCTCATGGATGACGCTAAACCATGATCTAAATTAGTTTGGGCAACTGTCGTGGATATGTTCAGATAGACCAGTTTAGCGCCTGAAGATCCATATCGGAATCTGGACATCCAAGCCATCCTCCAGTGGATACCATTGTCTACCGGAATTCCACTACGCATGCAAGAACGGCTCACAGCCCGCTTCAGTATTTTGATGAGGGGAGATTTGCAAACGACTTGCAGTTGCCACCGTCAAAGTACGGTAGCACCCGCAGGAGTACAGAGTTATTTGCTTTTTCTTCTTTTGCCTTGCAGTTGCCCAGCGCCCGCCGTATTCATGGCGGGGGGAGGCAGACCGCAACAAAAAGGCGTCATAGCCAGTGAGAGAAGACATCAGCCTCAGCGATAGGCGGTGTTTGTCTACAAGCTGCATTAGCTCGATGGGGCCGGGATGACCACTCGAGGACAGTGCGAGTGCTTGACTGGATGGGGAAAAATGGAGGCCCATCGCAATCATATTTCGATCAAGTCGGTCGTTGCTTTTTCCGTCTAGATCCCTCGTTTTGCTCTCTGTTGCTTTTTCTTGTTTCGCCTTCCTTGTTTTTCGTACTTTTTGGGCGCTCATATCGCCGACACGCTAAGGTTCGGCCCACCTGTCAGGAAGCCATTTTCTCCTCATTTGTGCATCACAGATGAACAGAATGCCATTCACAGGGATGCATACCGTTTTATTGGGAAGGAGTTCTTATCCTGTTGATCCCCCTTAGTCGAATTTGCCGACTCCACATCTCTTGAGTTTCTGCTCCAAGCCTCAACAAGCCGGTCTAGATCACCCGTCTAGTGTAGTCTTCAGAGTATGTCGGAGAGGGCCGATACGCTGCCACAGCATGACGACATCAGAAGCTTTGGGGCTGTGTTTATTTCAAGTTGAAAGCAGGAATTTGTTGTGAAACATTGCGGTGGTGGTGAATTGAGCCTGACGAGGCACAATGTGCCCTCTTGTCATGTGACTAGCTGCACTGGACGGACTTGCTTGCAGTTGGCATAATGAATTACGAGATCCCATCAGAGAGATGCAGGAGGAAGTTTTGACAGCATATGGGTGCATTTTTGGCTGATGATTCCCTTCCATACCAACTGTTAGGTCTATTCGGTCGAATATTGTCTCATTGATTGCGTACCTCCGCTGTCCCTCTAGAAGCAGAGACCTAGACTGAATCATATCCCAGGATCTCCATGGAGAATACAATTCCCGAATTAATGACAGACTGAAAGTTGTCCCAAAGTCATTGACGTGATCCTACAGATGAAAACATAACCTGTTTATTGCCTTGCTGCATATATAATTAGTCATCTATCATAGCGGCCGTGCATATATACTGCAAGATAAAGCCTCTATCAGTGCTGCAAGTCATGCAAGGTACATATACATCACAGAAGCACAGCTAACGAACAGCAATAAGTCAGGCGCCTCCCCTATTCCTCCTTGATCTTGCGAGACCTTTTCTTGGGCACCCGAACGAGCCAATACAGGAAGACAGCCGCGAAGATGTTGAACACAATGTACACGAACAACAGGCCCACATTGCGCCAGCGATCTGAGTAGCTGATGCTCAATTGTGCCAGAAAAGTATCCGTATCTGCCACTGGACAGACCTGGCAATTCGCGGTTGCCTCCGGGTTAAGTAATCTGCCATGAGACATCTGAACATATGCGTCCAGGAAGCTCGA